CACAAAACGAGTCGAGGCTGCAATTTCATGGTTAAACAAGAACTGGTTTTAATCGCACACAGGGATTGGTATTTATGCAAAAACTCAGGTCCAGGGACAGCCCCCTCTGGACCTGATGGGATACATGGATAACACAAGGGATCAACCAATAAGAATACATTGTATCATTTGAATTTGCTACCGCCCATCTTGGAGATAATAAATCCAACGGTTATACAATTATCTCCAAGCGCCCAAAACCCACATTATTTTACACATAGAAAACAGATTAAAAATACATAACTCTAACATTTTATTATATACTTTGGTACTTTCACCATTCATAGCTCTGGTCTGTGTGTACTAGTTCACCAAATAGCGACCCAAACTCACGAAACCTCTGCTATATTTCGTCATGATAAAGTCTGTTTGTGTATTTGGTCACAGGCTGGAGATGGCGGCTATGTTTTTAGGTGCAACAATAGATTGCGGGACCTCGGCGTCAACTCGTGGAACTAACAACGGCCAGAGTTGTGCCCGAATCCCCGCTCTCTGGCTGGATGTCGTCGCTGTTCGGGATACGATGTTAGCCCGCCGTGAAGGGGCACTTAACCTGCGGTTAACCACAAGATTCCACATTCTAATTGAGGCCACACGCCAGGTTAGAGGTGGTCTCGTTCATGACCCTTTCGGTAGTTTAACCTTCGGTAGATAAGGCACGAACGGATATATCCTGGGGCCGTCAATTAGCCTGCGGTTAACCGCAAACCGCAACTCCCTGGGTGATCAATTGGTGGCACACTCTCCCAGCCGGGTGGTCGACCGTTCAGTAGTTTGAGAGGTGACCGGGGTTAAGTGGCGGCACACGCCAGGAGCCGTGTGGTCGGTTGTTCGTTTAACGAACCGGTGTATATATAATCCATTCGGAAGAGGGTGCAGAATTCAAGTACTGAAGCCATAGTATCACAAAAGAGCCAACATAATCCGTGTTTGTAACAGTTTTGTAACGGGGGGGGAAGGACATTATGGGACAGGGGTGGAAAGAACACCATGGGACCTGGGAGGGGGGAATGAAAACTATGGGGCAGGTGATGGGGACAGAACACTATGGGACAGGGGAGGGGGAGAAGAACACTATGGGACAGGGGAGGGGTGGGAGAACAAAACGTTAGTTAGAACATTCAAGTAGAAACCACCTCTATTCGCCCTAACGCAATATGACCACTAACAGAAAAGGGACGTTTTTCATATTAGATTAATTTAATTTATTAAAAAGTCTAATATTAAAACAATTATATGAAAAAAACTTTTTTTAAATCATTTGGGGGAAAAAAGTCATTTTCGGTTTTGATTTTCAGTCAAGGGAATCCTGAATTTTCGATTTCGGTTACAAACAAACTTAACTGATTGTTATTACTGAACAAAAAAAATTATATATATATATAACAATAAACCAGAAAAAATATTGTCAGTTTTTCTATGTATGGTAATTACTATTTTCATTTCCATTGGCAGGTCAAACAAGGAATCTACTACAATTTCAATACCTTATTGTTGTGAACCTTAGGTAGTAGATGCTGATTGTGTTTAGAATGTATGTGATATACACAGTGTGTGTAATTTATTCCTCTACCATCAATGCAAACCAAATTAAAGTAAAAGAGAGTATACATAATTTTGCTAGGGAAGGGGGTAAAGCACACAAAATACTTAAAGCGGCACTGTCATGGCCGAATCTCGTTTTTTTTTTTTTAAAACCACCCCTCCCAACTCCATTACATCTAACTGACCCCTTAGTCAACCCCAAATGCCCCTAAGCAATCTGCCCTGATCTATATTCAAGGCATCTTTGTGTGGGTAGAGGAAATCCCTGTGGGACATGTCATTTGCCCACACAAGATAGTGCTGTGAGATTCCCGCACAAGCCCAGTTAAACCCTTGGGCATGCAAACTGGAATTTCATCTCTTCATTCATTCGTCAGAAAGACGAATGAGTGACTAGAAATTTCAGATGAACAATACTGAATATCAGTGTTCGTTTGTTCGTTCAGTTTATTACAAGGAGGGAACTACCGGCGTGCAGCTCCCTCCTTGTAATATGTAATGATAGCAGTGCTCCCTGCCACTTCCTAAGCCCAGTTAAACACTTGGGCATGCGAACGGGAATTTCATCTATTCATTCATTCGTCAGAAAGACGAATGAATGACTAGAAATTTCAGACGAACAATACTGAACAATACTGAACAATACTGAATCAAATTACACAGCTTGGGAAAATTCCAAAGAACTTTCCCACGCTGTGTAAAATGACAAAGAGCACTCTGGCTTAAACCAACCAATCAGAGTGTTCTTAGCCTAATTGCAGGGCGGGGCATGGCTTCATAAGCCTTTTCCCACCCTGCAGAACCCAGTCTGTGACATGCTCTCCATGGGTAATTGTTTTAGCGTCTGTTTTTTTCTCTTTCGTCAGGTTTTTTTGGGCGCTCGGGTTTTTATTTTATTTTAAGTTCGACGGGTGTGATGGTTTTTTATTTGGCTTTTTTGGGGGCTAAAAAATAAAGATTTTAGAAAAAAGAAGACATCAAAGGGTAAGATTTATATTTCTTTACAGGTTAGTTGTTTTATTCCCCCCTTACTATTTTTAGGGTGATGGGGGTAGGTAGGGGATATTTTTTTATTTGGGTGGGGGTGACTAGGGGCTTGGGGACTCCTAGTCACCTTGGGGGGGGGGGAATTTTAATTTAGGTCCCCCACCCGCCACTCAGGAGTGGGGGCCGGGGGGAGGACAATAGGTCCTACCCCCAAATTCAAATTTAGGACCCCCACCCACCACTCAAGGGTGGGGGCAGGGGGGAGGACAATAGCCCCCTCTTATTGTTATTTAGGGCACCCACCTGCCATACAGGGGTGGGGGCCATGGTGGAGGACAGTAGCCCCCCCTCTGTCTAAGTGACAGGACGTTCGGCAATACTGAAAGGAAGCATTGCGGGAACAGGGAGGAAAGTGAAGAATTATGGGAAAATTTCTCTGACCACCAGAAATTAAGCACACTTTGTTCCTCCGCTGGTCATAGCTGGTCATGGCGTAGGAAACCTCCATAAGGCAAGTAGTCCCTACTTTATCTTATGTTTTAAAGAAAAATAGAGCAGACAGGAAGAAAGGAATAACAGATCCTGACAGAGGGAGAGAAGAGGAATCAATTGGGGAAAGGTAAGTTCGGCATGACAGTGCTACTTTAATTTCTTCTCAGTCACTATGACACCTGATGGTCGTATTTCTTATCTATTAAAAAAATATTGTAATTTTTTTTTAAGTATGGCAAACAATAATTTATAGTGACCAATTTCCTTTAACTCCCAGTATATTTCTTTCAGGTGTATTTGTCAGGAGACGTTATACTGAAAGAGGTGACGAGAACAGAAATACACAAAGCAACGCTATGAAGAAATCTTTTAATAACAGAATCAAGGACTTTAACTCTGACAAATCAAGCATTTTCGCAGATTCCTATATGTTCTCAAAGGAGATAGTAAACATGAACTCCAAACCTTTCTCATGTTCTGAAAGTGGAAAATGTTTTAGTCATAAAGAAACTCTTGGTAGACATCAGAGAACTCACACAGGAGAGAAACCATTCTCATGTTCTGAATGTGGAAAATGTTTTGGCACGATAGCACAGCTTGTCAGTCATCAGAGAACTCACACAGGAGAGAAACCATTCTCATGTTCTGAATGTGGAAAATGTTTTCGGCTGCATTCAACTCTTGTCCGTCATCAGAAAACTCACACAGGAGAGAAACCATTCTCATGTTCTGAATGTGGAAAAAGTTTTGTCACTAAAGAAATTCTTGTCCGTCATCAGAGAACTCACACAGGAGAGAAACCGTTCTCATGTTCTGAATGTGGAAAATGTTTTGTTAGTAAAGTAGAGCTTGTCCGTCATCAGAGAACTCACACAGGAGAGAAACCATTCTCATGTTCTGAATGTGGAAAATGTTTTGTCACTAAAACATTGCTTGTCCGTCATCAGAGAACTCACACAGGAGAGAAACCGTTCTCATGTTCTGAATGTGGAAAATGTTTTTGGCATCATTTAAGTCTTGTCCTTCATCAGAGATCTCACACAGGAGAGAAACCATTTTCATGTTCTGAATGTGGAAAATGTTTTCGGCTACATTCAAATCTTGTCGGTCATCAGAGATCTCACACGGGAGAGAAACCGTTCTCATGTTCTGAATGTGGAAAATGTTTTGTAACTAAAGCAATGTGTGTCCGTCATCAGAGAACTCACACAGGAGAGAAACCATTCTCATGTTCTGAATGTGGAAAATGTTTTGTTAGTAAAGCAGAGCTTGTCAGTCATCAGAGAACTCACACAGGAGAGAAACCGTTCTCATGTTCTGAATGTGGAAAATGTTTTGTCACTAAAGCAGTGCTTGTCCGTCATCAGAGAAGTCACACAGGTGAGAAACCGTTCTCATGTTCTGAATGTGGGAAATGTTTTGTTAGTAAAGCAGAGCTTGTCAGTCATCAGAGAACTCACACAGGAGCAAAACCATTCTCATGTTCTGAATGTGGAAAATGTTTTCGGCAACATTCAACTCTTGTCCATCATCAGAGAACTCACACAGGAGAGAAACCGTTCTCATGTCCTGAATGTGGAAAATATTTTGTCACTAAAGCAGCGCTTGTCCGTCATCAGAGAAGTCACACAGGTGAGAAACCGTTCTCATGTTCTGAATGTGGGAAATGTTTTGTTAGTAAAGCAGAGCTTGTCAGTCATCAGAGAACTCACACAGGAGAAAAAACATTCTCATGTTCTGAATGTGGAAAATGTTTTGGCACTACAGCACAGCTTTTCAGTCACCAGAGAACTCACACAGGAGAGAAACCATTCTCATGTTCTGAATGTGGAAAATGTTTTCGGCAACATTCAACTCTTGTCCATCATCAGAGAACTCACACAGGAGAGAAACCGTTCTCATGTCCTGAATGTGGAAAATATTTTGTCACTAAAGCAGTGCTTGTCCGTCATCAGAGAAGTCACACAGGTGAGAAACCGTTCTCATGTTCTGAATGTGGGAAATGTTTTGTTAGTAAAGCAGAGCTTGTCAGTCATCAGAGAACTCACACAGGAGAGAAACCATTCTCATGTTCTGAATGTGGAAAATGTTTTGGCACTAAAGATGTTCTTGTCCGTCATCAGAGAACTCACACAGGAGAGAAACCGTTCTCATGTTCTGAATGTGGAAAATGTTTTTTTAGTAAAGCAGAGCTTGTCCATCATCAGAGAACTCATACAGGAGAAAAAACATTCTCATGTTCTGAATGTGGAAAATGTTTTGTCACTAAAGCATTGCTTGTCTGTCATCAGAGAACTCACACAGGAGAGAAACTGTTATCATGTTCTGAATGTGGAAAATGTTTTGGCACTACAGCACAGCTTTTCAGTCATCAGAGAACTCACACAGGAGAGAAACCATTCTCGTGTTCTGAATGTGGTAAATGTTTTGGCACTAAAGATGTTCTTGTACGTCATCAGAGAACTCACACAGGAGAGAAACCGTTCTCATGTTCTGAATGTGGAAAATGTTTTGTTAGTAAAGCAGAGCTTGTCCGTCATCAGAGAACTCACACAGGAGAAAAAACATTCTCATGTTCTGAATGTGGAAAATGTTTTTTCACTAAAGCAATGCTTGTCGGTCATCAGAGAACTCACACAGGAGAGAAACCGTTCTCGTGTTCTAAATGTGGAAAATGTTTTCAGCAACATTCAAATCTTGTCAGTCATCAGAGAACTCACACAGGAGAGAAACCGTTCTCATGTTCTGAATGTGGAAAATGTTTTCGGCTACATTCATATCTTGTCAGTCATCAGAGAACTCACACAGTAGAGAAACCGTTCTCATGTTCTGAATGTGGAAAATGTTTTCGGCTACATTCATATCTTGTCAGTCATCTGAGAACTCACACAGGAGAGAAACCGTTCTCATGTTCTGAATGTGGAAAATGTTTTCGGCAACATTCAACTCTTGCCAGTCATCAGAGAACTCACACAGGAGAGAAACCATTCTCATGTTCTGAATGTGGAAAATGTTTTGTCACTAAAGCAAAGCTTGTCAGTCATCAGAGAACTCACACAGGAGAGAAACCATTCTTATGTTCTGAATGTGAAATGAGTTTTCGGCAACATTCAAGTCTTGTCAGTCATCAGAGAACTCACACAGGAGAGAAACCATTCTCATGTTCTGAATGTGGAAAATGTTTTGTCACTAACGCAGTTCTTGTCGGTCATCAGAGAACTCACACAGGAGAGAAACCATTCTCATGTTCTGAATGTGGAAAATGTTTTGTCACTAACGCAGTTCTTGTCAGTCATCAGAGAACTCACACAGGAGAGAAACCATTCTCATGTTCTGAATGTGTAAAATGTTTTGTCACTAAAGCAAAGCTTGTCAGTCATCAGAGAACTCACACAGGAGAGAAACCATTCTCATGTTCTGAATGTGAAAAATGTTTTGTCACTAAAGCAAATCTTGTCAGTCATCAGAGAACTCACACAGGAGAGAAACCATTCTCATGTTCTGAATGTGAAAAATGTTTTGTCACTAAAGCAAAGCTTGTCAGACATCAGAAAACTCACAGGAAAGAAACCGTTCTCACGTTGTGAATGGGGAAAATTATTTTTTGTTAAACCTTATCTTGATAGACATCAGAGATCTCACACAGGTGATGAGTCTCTAAAATTGTATAATGTATCTATGCATTAACATAGAAACAAAATATCTTGTATTGTGAATTTTGATCATGCTGACACAGTAAATAGTAACTGTGATAGTAGCAGTCAAAGTACGGCAACTCAAGATACATCGTGGTTGTATGTTCTGTCTGTTACAGAGTGAAAGGCTTCTTCAAACAACCCCCATGTTAATACAGACTTCAAGCAAAGGTTATGTTTACTTCTAATGTTCTAGTGTTTTTCTTAGGTCATACAAGGCAGCTGAGACCATAACTAATAAATATACTAATTTTGTCTCATATGCCAATCAGCCACTTATAATTTGGAGTCAAATATTAGCCTTTTTAAAAATATTTAATTAGCTTTAAAATATCTAATGTGTTGTAGGATTTTATCTCTGTAATATTATTGTGACAAACTGCCTTTTGTCACTGGATTGCTATGTGCCAACCTGCCTTTTTCCCCTGACTGTTGGAGGAGCCTGATTGCCAGCCTCCTGCCTCATGACTATGGCCCTGGGTTGTATGGCCTTTTAAAAACATTATTTGGGCTTATTGGATGTTGGGACACTTTTTCTGCCCCTTTGAATCCATGGGAAGTTGGATTCCCCCGCTTCCTGTTCCATTGTTCTCCAGCAGGGCTTTGTCCCAGGCACACTGCCAGACCAGTTGGAAATGGCTGCCTTGTACCTCCTTGGTCTCTCATCAGCCCTTGTTATCCTTTAACCCCATGGAAAATTTACTCTGTTGGTGGGATCTGAGCGCTGTTCACCTATATTGGGCGCTCAGATCCAATCTATCTGGAGATAGGTTAAATGTGGGGCCTCTGTGTAATATAATAGGACTTATATATTTTTATGTATTTTACTGTTAGTGTAAAATGGAGATATTTTCTGTACCTGGAGATAACTGAGTTTACTGCAGCTCCTTAAGCCAATTATCTCCAGGATAGAGGGGAGGGATTTTACTGTGTGTGTGGGAGTGTTATTTTGTTAGTGTTCCTGTAGCAGAGTAGTAGTATTATCCACGGTATCTCCGCTGGTAGACAGGAACAGCAGATCCAAAACAGGCAAAATGCAGGTAGCGTAGTTACAATCCCTTCCTCCCAAGAACTAGCTTGGAGGTCAACTGAGGTTTTTAATTACTGGCACATTATTTATGTGGTTACAAATGTACAGGGTTTCCCAAGTCCCAATACAGGGTTTGTCCAGTAGGGGACTACATGGGGGACTGGATTTTACACACAGAATACCCATCATACACTGCTGTACCAAGGAGATACTTATCCCAGCATGCATTGCTAATGGGAGTATCCCTTGGTACAGAGAAACACAGTTTTCACATTAAAATCTATAACTCACATAATATTTAGGCCATACATTTAATTAACCATTTATTACATAGCTGGGACCTGGGCGGACAGTTAAGTGAACTTGCGCCCAGATCCCAGCACAAATAACCGAATGCCGTTCAGTTTCCCTTATCAGGATCAATTCGTTTAAACGATTGCCTGATTGAAGGGGATGAAACTACCGAAAATGGTAAACTCCCGAATGGCTCGGAAGTCCAGTGGGGCTTGTTTGGTCGACAAAACCCCGCTGGCTTTCCGCGAACAAAGATGGCCGCCGCCTCGAGTTCTGTACACGAATGGCGGCCACCCGCAACAAACCGCAATTAGCATCGATACAATGTTGCAAAGTACCTAATGGGAGACACACGACCATCTATGGGTGGTCTCCCATTCGGTACTTTGCTAAACTCATGAACAGTGCGGTGATTCACTGTTCGTGGGTACTCGGATTTAACATTAGCGGTATTCGTGTGCTGTAACACACGAATGCTGCATATATTGCAAAATACACAACATAGCAGGTAAATTCTAACATACACTTTTAAACTACAATTAAGGTCTCTAAGTGGCTGGATTTGCCACAGTTCCCATTGGTTTGTGTCCCTTCTGTCACAGTTTACCACCAGGTCCAGGGGGTGTGGCCTTAAAAGTTGTATAAAAGAAAGTCCTTTTGTGTGCATTAAAAGAGACCTGCTTACCCCTTCGTGAAACCTGGGCTCATGTTTGGGAGATTGGAGAAATGCCTACACTCTGATAGATATTCATCACCAATACTTAAGTTAATATCCATTTTTGATGTTAAGTGCATACATATTGCTGTATTGGTACAGATGTGTGCAAAGATGTTATGTTATTTTGAGAAGCCGTGTATTGTTTGAATAAATATACATTTTAAGGCTGCAAGACAATCTGATTTGATTATTGGAACTCTGATGTGACAAACAAACATTTCAGGATCAGCTAATTTCATACATTTAATGGTGGAGAAAGCATGGGCATACTGACTGAATAACTAAAAAGATTCTGTTGCAAAAGATTACAAGAAGATAACTGAAGAAAAAGTCAAACTGTTCCCTGCAATAAGTGTTAGTAAACATCTCAGAGTTACTATGCAAAGGCAGACGTGAGCAGTAAGAAAACCATTTGAACGTAGTGTAACGGCACCCCAGGTAGCAAAGGGGTTAAATCCATTTAGGATGCTCCCTTTCCGAATGTGAAGGCAGCTACTGAACACTCCAAACAGCCGAACAAGAAAATCCATACGAATAATCCCCCCAAGTACGAGACGAGGCTCTGTATTGAGGGTCAAGCAGGAATCTGATTTAATGTGGGCTACCTGCCCGGTATTTATGCAGGTCTTCCACCAGGTGAACACTCCCTTAGGGGACCTGGTGGACAACTGTGACAATAATGATACAGTAGCCAATCACAGTGTTACAGACATAAGCTTTAGCTTTAGCTGTATAGGACTCTCCTCTATCCTGGAGATAATTGGGAAGTAATTCAATTATCTCCGAGGATAGAGGCTAAACTCCATTTTATACAGAGTAACGAAAATACATAAAAATATATAACTTTATAATGCACAAACAGAATACCCACATTTAAGGTTTCCCCAGATAGCTGGGATCTGAGCGCACAATATTACCTAATAGCGCTCAGATCCTATGCACGCAGTTTAATCGCCATGGAGCCAAAGTCTTTCACATAGGTTTTTCGTTATACGAATGGGCTCCATGGGATGGCTATCTGAGGGTGACTCCGTTCATCTGAAAATGTGCCGAACAGCCCGTTTTTCGTATGAAACAGATGAAGGGAGTTCGGCGGCTTCAGCGGTGTTCGTATGAAAATAGTAGCCATTTTTAAATCCAGAGAATGGTCGACGAACACCACTGAGCGTTCATATGTCCAAGATAGCCGCCACCTCGTGTTCGTTTATACGAATGACGACCACCCAGCCAACCATTAACAAGGGAAAGTGTCTGCGGTTAACCGCGATGTTCTAATGAGGCCAAGAGGTTAACAAGCAGCACACTTCCCTGCTGGGTGGCCGGCCGTTAGGCAAGTCTTTCGTCAAAACAATTGATTTTGGAACTGCTGCATCCTTTCCGACTTGCCGTAATTCGGTAACATTTCAGGCACTTTCTGCTTATACCGGGGGTCTAGTAGCGTGGACACCCAGTACAGGTCGTTCTCCTTCAGCCTTTATACGAGGGTCCCTCAACAGGCACGACAGCATGAAAGACCCCATTTGCACAAGGTTGGATGCCGAGCTACTCATTTCCCGTTCCTCCTCCTCACTGATGTCAATGAAGGTATGTTCTTCCCCACAGCCACGTACAACACCACAGGTACCAGATAGGTGACAACGAGCACCCTGGGATGCCTGTTGTGGTTGGTCTTGCTTCTCCTCTTCCTCCTCCTCAAAGCCACATTCCTCCTCTGACTCCTTTTCCTCACAATCCTCTTCCAGCGTTGCCGCAGTTCCAGCAAGCAATGCTGATAAGGCTGGTTCTGGTGGTGATGGTGACCACAACTCTTCCTCTTCCTCTTCACGCCCATCTACGGCCTGATCCAGCACTCTTCACAGGGCACGCTCCAGGAAGAAAACAAATGGTATGATGTCGCTGATGGTGCCTTCGGTGCGACTGACTAAATTTGTCACCTCCTCAAAAGGATGCATGAGCCTACCGGCATTGCGCATGAGCGTCCAGTAACGTGGCCAAAAAATTCGCAGCTCCCCAGAGGCTGTCCTAGCACCCCGGTCATACAAATATTCATAAACGGCTTTTTCTTGTTGGAGCAGGCGGTCAAACATTAGGAGTGTTGAATTCCAACGTGTCGGGCTGTCGCAAATCAAGCGCCTCACTGGCATGTTGTTTCGCCGCTGGATATCGGCAAAGTGAGCCATGGCCGTGTAGGAACGCCTGAAATGGCTACACACCTTCCTGGCCTGCTTCAGGACGTCCTGTAAGCCTGTGTACTTATGCACAAAGCGTTGTACGATCAGATTACACACATGTGCCATGCACGGCACATGTGACAACTTGCCCAACTTCAATGCCGCTAACAAATTTGTTCCGCTGTCACAAACCACTTTGCCGATATCCAGTCGCTGCGGAGTCAGCCACTTTTCCACCTGTGCGTTCATGGCGGACAGGAGTGCTTGTCCGGTGTGACTCTCTGCTTTCAAGGAAGTCAAACCCAAGACGGCGTGACACTGCCGTATCCGGGATGTGGAATAGTACCTGGGGAGCTGGGGGTGTGCCGTTGATGTGGAGCAAGACGCAGCAGCAGAAGAGGACTCAGCCGAGGAGGTTATGAAGAGGATGGAGTAGGAGGAGTAGAGGAGGTGGCAGCAGGACTGCCTGCAAGTCGGCGGTGTCACCAACTCCTCGCAGAGCTATGCATTCCATGCTTGGCAGCAGTCAGCAGGTTTACCCAATGCGCAGTGTAGGTGATATACCTGCCCTGACCATGCTTTGCAGACCAGGTATCAGTGGTCAAATGGACCCTTGCCCCAACACTGTGTGCCAGAGATGCTATTACCTTTTGCACAATTGAGTACAGGTTGGGGATTGCCTTTTGCGAAAAGTAATTTCGGCCGGGTACCTTCCACTGCGGTGTCCCAATAGCTACAAATTTTTTGAACGCCTCAGACTCCACCAGCTTGTATGGTAAAAGCTGGTGGGCTAATATTTCTGACAAGCCAGCAGTCAGACGCTGGGCAAGGGGGTGACTTTCTGACATTGTCTTCTTACGCTCAAACATGTCCTTGACAGACACATGACTGTGGGAAGATGAGCGTGAACTGCTCAAGGCGGGAGGCGGAGTGGCGGATGGTTGAGAGGGGACAAGGAGGACAGCAGTGGTTGACGTGGCTGAAGATGCTGGACCAGGAGGAGGCTGGCTGCTTAGAGTAGGCGAGCTGCTTGTACTCATGTGTTGATCCCATAGGCGTTTGTGATGTGAGATCATGTGCCTACGCAAAGCAGTTGTACCTAGGTGGGTGTTGGACTTCCCACGACTCATTTTCTTTTGGCACAGGTTGCAAATGGCACGCTGTTGTCAGAGGCAGACACACAAAAAAATTCCACACTGCTGAGCCCTGCAATGACGTATTCTGGCGGTGGATACAGCATGCTGATTGGCGTACTGTCAAGACCTGGGCACATGCATGCTGTCTGACTGTGCCACTAGCTCCTTGCTACCTCCCCCTTTTCCAACTCGCTCCTCCTCCTGTCTCCCATCTGAACCTCTTGTTCTCTTCTAGAAGGCACCACTTGTGACATCCACGGACGACCACCATCGTCAGCCATGTATCTGACAACTCAGCAAAGGAAGCAGCAGGGGTACAACATCATCATCATCATCACACAGACGCCCATGTGTGTACGCTGCCTGCCTGAGACATATCCCCGTTATCTACATCCTCTGGCAATAATGGTTGCGATCACTCATTTCTTCAAACGGATGTGTGAATAACTCCTCTGAGGCACAACCGAAGCGGCTGTGGTGCTTAGTTTTCTGGTGGCAGGCAGGCGGGTGAGTGGTATCTTGAGAGGTGCCTGAAGCTAAGCTGGAGGAGGATGGTGCGTCAAGGTTCTGAGCGGAGGCTGTAGAAGATTGGGTGTCCTGTGTTAGCCAGTCAACTATGTCCTCAGAACTTTTCAAGTTCAGGGTACGTGGCCTCTGAAAACTGGGCATTATTCTAGGCCAAAGGGAATCACAGCACCACGACCACGATGGCCCCTGCGGGGTGGCCTGCCTCTGCCTGTCATTTTTGTTGGGATTAGTGGTACTATGCGTGCAAGCTACTGTGAGACCAGATATGAGTGGCAATGTGCACTGGCACAGTTGTGCAGAGCACAGGCTGTAGGCCTGACACCCGCTTGAAGATAACTAACTGCTATTCAATCTATAACAGTGAAAAAGTGTTTTTTGTTTTTAAATACAAGCTTTGTGTCACCAGATCTAAGTGGTGGCACTGGTCACCGTATCCACCGTTAGCGTAACACACCCGCTTTAAGGACACTGACTGCTATTCAATCTATAACAGTGAAAAAAGTGTTTTTTGTTTTTAAATCCAAGCTTTGTGTCACCAGATCTAAGTGGTGACAATGGTCACCGTATCCACTGTTAGCGTAACACACCCGCTTTAAGGACACTGACTGCTATTCAATCTATAACAGTGAAAAAAGTTTTTTGTTTTTAAATGCAAGCTATTGTGACACCAGATATGAGTGGTGGCACTGGGCACCGTATCCACTGTTAGCTTAATACACCCGCTTTAAGGACACTGACTGCTATTCAATCTATAACAGTGAAAAAAGTGTTTTTTGTTTTTAAATCCAAGCTTTGTGTAACCAGATCTAAGTGGTGGCAATGGGCACAGTATGCACTGTGAGCCTGACACAGAAGCTGGCAGCAGTGGCAGACAACTGACTGCTATTCAATCTATAACAGTGAAAAAAGTTTTTTGTTTTTAAATCCAAGCTATTGTGACACCAGATGTAAGTGGTGGCACTGACTGGGGAAATGGGCACAGTATGCACTGTGAGCCTGACACAGAAGCTGGCAGCAGGGGCAGACAACTAAGTGCAATTACATTACATAGAAAAAATAAATAAAAAAAAGCATACCCTAACCCTAACCTAGCTATGCTTTTCCCTATCTTATGAACAGCAGCTACACTTTCCCTCCTCTTACTAAGCATGCAGCTTGAGAATGAATCTAAAATGGATGCCTTCCAGGAGGTGGGAGGGTCTGCTAGGGAGGGTGTGCTGCTAATTGGCTGGAATGTGTCTGTTGACTGTGAGGTACAGGGTCAAAGTTTACTCAATGATGACGAATAGGGGGCGGGTCGAA